AAAATTTGATTTTAAAACTAAAAAGTTAAATTTTCATATTTAAAAATTTAAAGCAAAGTTGTAAAGTTAAAATTAAGAAAGTCATTGAGAAGAAACTAGATGTAATGCACACCTATAATCCCAGCACTCAGGAGACTGAGGCAGGAGGATGACCTCAAAGTTTGAGGCCAGCCTGGGTTATACAGTGAAATCAAGATCAGTATGAACTACCTAGAGAGATCTTTCCTCAAAAACAAAAGCCAAGAAAGTTACTAAGAAGTGACAAAGATATATGGGCAATAAAACAAATAAAAAACTTTAAGAAAAGCATTTTAATAATGTCTAATTTTCAGGCAGGAAACTATCTGCAATGAGTTATAATTGAAATAGAATTTCAGTTTGCTGCATTTGCAAAATCAGATGTTATTTAAAATCAGATGTTATTTATAATCAGATGTTATTGGTATACTTGAGTAACACATAACGATCACACCCAGCATGGGGAATTTGTATCTGTACATGGGATAAGGTGATATTTTCCCCCATCTCCCTCCCCTCCGTCCACACTCCTTTCCATCACTCCCCATTTACAAAAGCTTTGTTTCTATTTTTTGCCTTTTTTTCTCACTTTTTATTTTTAAACTAAGAAAAGAAAACTTACATCAATGCGGAAGTCTTCTAACTTCTTAAAACTACAGAGGTATTCCTGAAGCTTTGGGTCAACAGAATGTGTCTTAGATTGAGAATATTTCAGATAGGCCCAAAATTTTTCTAATCCATACAGCTGACCTAATAACAAAGAAGAATATATACTGTAAATTATATGGAATTTAAAAAGAGATTCGTATCAAATATGATCCAACCACCAATAACCCACTTATCTTTCAATATATGCTTTATTTATTTATTTAGAGACAGCCTCTCACCATGTAGTTCAGGCTTTCCTCTTGCCTCAGCCTCCCAAATGCCGGGATTATCAGTGTGCACTACCACACCCTGCTCTAACTTTTTAAATATGCTTCCTGTAGATTTTGAGACTAAGATGTGCAATGAAAGAACATAAGTAGCACCTAACACCACTTTGTGGTCATCCTCCTGCCTCAGTCTCCTGAGTGCTGGGATTACAGGTGCACATCACACCTAGCTTCTTCTCAATGACTTTCTTAATTTTAATTTTTCAACCTTTGCTGTACATTTTTAAATATGAAAATTCAACCTTTCAGTTTCACATACACTTAGAAGCTGGCCAGGCTGAGGAACTCGCCAAGGTCACGCGGCCTCTGGGCGCTGACAAAGGCCACAGACCCCGGGATCAGGCCGGCAGCCCGCCCTAGCGCTGTGCTAGTCGGCCTCTTCATGCGCGTCCGAGCCGTCACAAAGGCTGTCACGTGAGGGACAGCCGTGGGTAGCCATGCTTGTGAAGAGGATAATGGCAAAACAGGCCTCCACGATGGAATACCCAGGGTGGTATTTTCCCACAATTCTCAAGAAAGGCCTTTTATTACATGGTACACAACCTTCATCAAGAAGCATAATAACAGCATAAATGTTTTACCGCATCCTAGAGACAAATGCTGTGAACTGCTCCCCCATTTATCAACAAATTCAAGTTTACAAATTCCAGACAGTAAGTTTTGGTTTTGTTTTTACCAGATTCGTAATCTTTTTTGGTTTCTTCTTGGAAATCCTTAAAAATTTCTTGTCTGAATTTCTTTTCCAGTCCATAACTATAAAACCTGAACAGACATTCTAACCCATACCTATACACAGAAAAGAAAAAGATAATAAATTTTTGCTATAATGTAAATTCATCATAGCATCTATACAAGCAAACATGACATGAAAAAGAGTAAACAATATGAAACAAGAAGCAAATTTTTAGCACACAGATTTTTAGATTCAAATCTTTGTGTGTGTGTGTGTGTGTGTGTGTGTGTGTGTGTGTGTGTGTGTGTGGTACCGGGGATTGAACTCAGGACATTGTGCTTGCCAGGCAGACACTTATACCATTGAGGTATCTTCCCAGCCCTCAGCACACAGATTTTTTTAACTGAAATACTAATTAATAACACTTAGATGGTTTTGCCACAATTTTCTCCCTCTTTTGTTTTAATCAATCATAGTACATAATAAAGCCATACAAGGAATTTGCAGATTGGAGGCAGCCCTTGCCAATTAAGAGTCCAACTTTTTTAGATGGTCACTGTATCTGTCCCAAGTATTTCTGAAGAAATTATCAAAAGATTTAGGGACACTGGAAATGGTACAGATTTTTCATAAGCCTAAATTTATATGGTGCATTGTTCATCATATTAAATACTTTTCAATATAATTTTCATTATAGAGAGAGACCATACTTTTGTGCTGTGAACCCCAAATGTAATTAACCTATTCAGCTGTAATCTCCAGACATAATTTAGTGCCCCCTCAGAGAGCACCTCTGCCTAGTTATAAAGTATAGTTCATTGTGGGTATTCTGGTAAGAGCTACAATCATTATATAAAGCTGAAAACAAGTTTTCTTCCTTCTTCCTATAACTACCTAGAGAACCTAAGACAAATTCTAGACAGTAGATCAATAAATTACCCTGGTTCAACCTTTAACTAATGGTGCTAAGTAGAGAAGTGAAGGATCATGCCTGGCTGATTCAACAGTTTTTAAAAATTTCTATTAGAATCCTTAAGTCCTGAGTGCCTCAGTGAAATAGGTTACAGATTCTTTATTGTGGGCTGGCTATTGAACACAGGAAGCCAGTGCATGTGTGTGTTTGGTGGTTTGTCTGTTTTTGTTTTGTTTTTGAGACAGGCTTTCGCTATATAGTGCAGGCTGGCCTTGAACTCACTTATGTAGTCTAGACTGGCCTCAAACGCACAGCAATCCTTCTGCCTCAGCCTCTCAAGTGCTGGGATTACATATGTATGACACTACAACCCTTCTTGTGTGTGTTTTATAAATACTTTCTTACGGATGGAGAATAACTATATGCATAAAAGAATTAGGGTTTCTTGACAAGCCACTAAGAGAAATGTAACACTGCCATCTATGCACCTATGTACTAGTCAGGCATGGTGGCAAACAGGACTCCTAGCACTCAGAAGACTGAGGCAGGAGGATCACTGCATGTTTATGGCCAACCTGGACTACAGAGTGAGTTTAGAGCCAGCCTGAACTGCATTGGAAATCCTTTCTCAAACAGACAAAAAATTAAACAAACAATGATACAGGCCAAAACAAAACACCTGAGGATTAGCAAGACAGATTAGAAGATGCAGACACAGCTACAAATACACTCAGCCACCTTATCTTTGAGACTCTTTAATAAATGGTGCTAGAATAACTGTCTTTCTATATGCTGAAGACCAAAGCTAGACCCATGTCTGCCATCATGCACAAAACTAAAGTCAAAATGGATCAGAAATCTAAATAGTAGAACCCAACCCCTAAATCTACAGAACAAAAAAATAGGCAGAAATCTGGAAGACATAAGGTTAGGCAGAGAGTTCATGAACAAAAACCAAGCTTCAAGGGAAATACTCCAAAGAATCAACAACTGGGATCTCATCTTATTAAAAAGTTTTGCACATCAAAAGAAATCACCATATATATGCTGATACCTGTGAACTATATATGCTGATACCTGTGAACTAAGCAACTGCACTGAATATCAATGTGTAATACACTAGGATCATGCTTGGAATGCCTATCATTCTGGTCTTCTACATATGTACTGTTTGTCATGTCATATCAATTACTACTATACTCTCTCTCAAGTAAATGTATGTTTAAAAAACAAGAGTAATAGATGAAAACAAGAGATAAAAAACAAAAATGCCATAGGATTGTCCTGCTATAATGCTGTATATGGTTAGATTTCTAAATTTCTGTGTAAAAATATGTAATTGTTTATTCCAATTTTTAAAATATTTATTTATTCATTCTTTTTTTCTTCACATTCTGTAGGGATTTAAAGTTTAACATATTAATATTTGATGGACAATATCTGTTCCACGCTATGTCTAAGATGTTTGATATTCAGACAGATAATGAGGTTAAGCTCAACTGCCTATATTACAGGGTAATATCATTAAGCTTCTCTTCTGGAGGGTTAACAACTTAAGTTTGCAGACCAAAAATTAGAGAAAAAGAATGGCTACAAGGAAAGCCAACATTTTGGTCCTAGCTTTTCAAGGTCAGTGAGGACTCAGGAATAAGATAACCTGTACTATAATAGCCTGTAACTCAGTGAGGTCCCAAATTTTCTGATCAAGGAGATTATGGGGGTCACAGAGGAAAATGATTGACAATGTAGTGTGCCTAAGGAGAGTCACATGGAGAAAAAACATTCTCTTAGGCTTTCACAGAGAGCAAATTGGTCAAGCAATGTCCATGACTCATCCACATGGCTAACACTGACAAAGGATCTACAAACTGCGGTACAGGGCTTCAGGGTAAATCCTGAGAGGATTTGACTGACCTTGTCAGATACAAAAGTTACAGTTCTTGTTACATAGGTCTTGTTTTATCTTGGTCTTAATCATCCAGCAGAAAAGTATAATAACAAGGTATGAAAAGTAAAGCCATATTAACATGCTGAGCTGTAAAGGGCTCAAGTCAACAACTTCTGACAATGCCAGTCCTACAGATTACCCACTACTATCATGGATTACTGGACTATATTGGAATATTTTGCTGAATTCACGCACCTACAATATTTAAATGACAATGGAATACCCATCTCTGACAAAACTAAACAAAAAAAGAAGGAATACAAATGAAGGACCTGGGGTTGGGGAGTTAGCTCAGTAGAATAAGAACTTGCCTGGCAAATGAAGGACCATTTCGTATCTATATATACAAAATAATTAGGATAGATATACAGCTACTTTCTCTTAATTGAATGAGAAGAAAGATTTGTACTAATAGTGTTTGTGGACAGGATATCATATCTGCATCTTGTACACTATGAAGACAACAATATGCAATGTATTAATTATTGAAATTGTCCTATTAATCAGTTTTGAAACTGTTTCATTGCTATTTGTTTCTCAATAAAATTAATAAAAAAAAAAGAAAGAAAAAGAAAACACCAACAGAGTGAAAAGAAAACCAGAGTGGGAAAAAAATTAGCCAACAGTCTCTTATACCTAGAACATATAAAGAATTGAGAAAAATCAGACTTCCCCCAATTCAAGACCCAATCCAAAAACGGGCATTTTAAATGAAGTAATACAAATGGCAAATACATGAAAAAATGTTCAACATCATTGATCATTTGAGAATGCAAATTAAAACAACACTGAGATTCCGTCTCATCCCAGAAAGAATGGCTATCATCAAGAAATCAACCAATAACAAATGCTGGCAGGGCTGTGAGGAAAAAGGAACTCTTATCCATTGTTGGTAGAAGCATAGATTGAAACCACCACTATGGAAATTAGTGAGAAATTCCTCAAAAAGCTAGGATTATAGATACAATTAGACCCAGCTATTATATTTCTGGATATTTTCCCAGAAGAATTAAAAGCATCATACCACATGGGTGATATATGTGCACCTGTGTTTATAGCAGCACAATTAATCATAGCCAAATCTTGGAAACAACCCAAATGCCTATCAACCAAGACATGGATAAAAAAGATATGGTATTTTTATATAATGGAGTACTACTCAGCTATAAAAGATAAATGTAAGACAAAAGTGAATAGATGTAACTTGAGAACATACTTATAAGTGAAATAAAGCAGACTCACATTGTAAACATTCTATTGTCTCCCTACTGTAAGAAACCAAAAAAGTAAGATCCAGAGGGTACAACAGATATTGTGAAAGGGAAAGAAACTTCTCAAGAGAAAAGAATAGCTAGGATGAAGGAAAGGAGAAAAAAAGGAAGGGAAAAGAAAAAGAATATATATATATATATATATATATATATATATATACACACACACACAAGATCGCTAAGGCAATTATACTCCTTATTTTTATTAGTGCATTGAAACAGTTTGTGCTTATATTGTCTGAACAATTTTGCATGCCTTTATCTTGAAATCTGAGCAATTACTTTGAAGATGACAATATGTAATAACCATTGTTAATTTCCTATTATCTTGTTTTGAAATTATACATCATTGTTTTTTATATTTTTATCGTGTGTGTGTGTGTGTGTGTGTGTGTGTGTGTGTGTCTGTCTGTGTGTTTGCACATGCATCTCACTATGCAGTTCAGGCTGGCCTTGAACTCACTTTGTAACCCAGTCTAGTCTTGAACTCCGAACAATCCTCCTGCCTCAGCCTCCTAAGTACTAGGATTGCAGGCATGTGGCTCTATCTATCTATCTATCTATCTATCTATCTATCTACCCACCCTTTGGCTTGGCAGCCTGAAGTACTGCTACTGATTTTTTATTACTAAAGGCTACAAGATCTAAGGACCCAGGGAATACCAGCTCCGACTTGTAAACTTGTCTTGATAATATTATACTAATATCAGTAGTTTCCAACTTACTTACACATTAGAATTACCAGAATTTTTTTTTAAATGAATTTAGGACAGGGTCTACAAGGTCTTACTATGTAGATTGGACTCATAGTGATTCTCCTATTTTCAGCCTCCCAAGCACTGGGATTACAGGCATGCACCACCACACCCAGTTTCACTTGCCATCTCAGTGCATCCCAGGGGCAGGGCTGGCATGGCACACTGGGGATCGAAACCTGGCCACTGCACTCTGCCAAAACAGGCACTTTAGTCTGATGAGCTATCTGGATGGCCCTTCAAATGTTGTTTTGAAAAGGTCATCTCTAGGCTCTGATCCAAACCAATGAAATAAAAATCTTTGGGGAGAAATTCTAGCTCTGTCTCTTTTTCTTTCTCTTTTGTCTCTCTCTTCTCTCTTAAATTTTCTTTTAACTTAAATGTCTTTGAGGAATCCAAACATCCTTAGATTATTAGTAAAAGCCAATCAATATTTGATACAATTTTGCATTAAATAGATAATATTTGGAATTTTGCTTTTATCCCTTCATATATTATTTCAATGACCAAGAATATGGTATTAATAACATAGCCCAAATATTTATCCTGCTAGACTAAAGAGCAGAGGCAAACAATTAGTCCTCTCAGTTTTCATTTACCATTACCTGTAAGAAGGGGAAAACATACAGACTTAGAACTGTATTTGAATCCTGAACTTATAATCATATCCCTAGAAGTGGGGACAATAATATCTAACTTTCAAGAACAGATATTTATAAAGCTCCTAGACCAGAACTCATACATTAGGGGCCGGGGAGATAGCTCAGGAGAGAGAGAGAGAGAGAGAGAGAGAGAGAGAGAGAGAGAGAGAGAGAGCGCTCATGCATTAAATGTAATAAATACTCAGTGTCTATATTTGGAGTTCATCTTATTATTATTTTCAATCAGTGGATAGATTTAGTGCTGATCTTCTTTCTAATGCTGATAATCATTTATTGAGCATTACCATATAAATCAGTTAATGTGTTAGGTCCTTTACATGTTTTGTTCAACCTTCATAATAACACCATTAAGATACCTAACAATTTCTCTTGCTTTATAAAGAAACAGTGGGAGTACAACCTATCAAAGTCACAGCAAATTAATGGACTGAGATTCAAACAAAGGTCTCATTTCAAAGCCTTGATGTACTTAACTATAATCTCTTCAGAATAAGCATCTAATACAGTCTCTTGGTAAGTATTACAGAAACAGACATAAAAGCAAGAAATGGTGTTAAAAAGCGCTCAGAAATCTACACAGATCTATGTGGACATCAGTGCAGAGGAGGCATTTCCAACCTATACTTGGGTAGAAAGAGAGTTAAAAGAAGTTATTACAAAGTTCTAAGAAACAAAAAGAAATTGCAGAAAAGGTAAACAAAGCATACTGATTCAAAACAATATCTTTCAAATTTTTCTACCCGTCCAATAAGAAAAAATATTTTATCATATAAGTCAACATGTGCCCCTATAAATTGTGTATAAAATGCTTTACAAAACAATTACTTTGTGTGTGTGTGTGTGCAGGGTCTCACTATGCAGCTCAGACTCATAGTGATCCTCCTGATTTCTGCCTTCCTAGTGCTGGAATTACGGGTGTGCACCACCACGCCCAGACTCCATCACCAGCTCAGCACACCTGGGGGCGGGGCTGGCACGGCAGGTGGTGCCAGGGATTGAACTCTGGCACCTGAGTTTACCTAAGCAAGCGCTTAGTCTGCTGAGCTATATTGACAGCCATTTTACAAAACAATTCTTAAATTTCTAAGTATGTATAAATTGTGAAACTGAACTCAGTTTAGTCTGATACTTTCTACTATATCTTTTTTTTTTTTTTTAAACTCAGGACCTTGTGCTTGCCACACAGGCATTTATGCCACTGAGCTATCTTCCTGGACCCTCTACTATATCTTTGAAATCAGGACAGTACCCTTAAATTGATTTCACAACCCAATAGTGGGCAGCAAACTACAGCCTGGATGACTATCCTGAAATCAAGAATGGCAAATTTTGCTTTTTTTGTTCCAAATCTATTAAATTAGAAGAAGCTACAAAAGCCATAAGTCAGAGTTTAAATCTGAAAAGTATAGGTAGGAAGACCATAAACGGTGCTGGGATTGATTAAAGATGTCATTAGTGGACAGAGGAGAAAGGAATGGAGGCACCCATGTCATGCATCTGCTGTTCTTGACCTAAATAGAAATTTTAGATGAAAAATAAACATTTTTGTTTTACATGTTACAAATACAATTTTTATTAGATTTTTTAAAATCAATTTTTGACATCTTGGAAGATGTCCTTCGTAGATCACTTGCTCTGGGTCATGCATTGAAGAAACAGTCTTTTTATCATAAACATGAACAAGAGAGCGTCTCAAACTTGAACAAGCCTGTCCCCTTCATTCATGGGCGCACTGAGTCACCAAAGGGTCTTTTCGGTTTGTCTCAGGGAGCAGAGCCTGCGCACTCAGGCCGGAGTGTGCTCTGGCCACCCGCGGAAGGAAAAGGCCTTGGAGATTTCTTGGGTTCTGAGTGCTTAATTATCTATCTGCACCAACAAACTGAATCTGGGGGCTCATTCCCAGTACACACGTGTTGTAAAACCCTCTGTGGGAGGCTTCTGTGGCCAGAGACTGAAGAAGCTGGAAACCCACTCAGGTCTTGTCAAACTAAGCCCCATCAAACACCTTGCCTGCAACCTCCCGAGAGACCATGGGACAGAACTACCTAGCGTCTTTACCCTAAAAATGTTTCTAGTTTTAATCTTTTGAGTTTGGGGGTAATTTGTTATACAGCAATAGCTAATGTAGATAGCCCTCACTTGACATATCGTGTGGAACTTTCACAGTTCAAAAGTAGGTTGCTTCAGTCCTTGTTTCTTAATTTTTAAAAATGCTTCCAAAGTGTTAAAAAAATCACATAATATTTGACCTGTAATTTTCTTTTGCATCTTCCCAAGCAAGTTCTTTAAATTCCTCATACATTTTTTTATTGAAGTGATCTCTGAGGAAAAAGGACCAGAAACGAAAGAGGGTATTCATTTCTTGGGACTGTCCAATTCCCAAGCGTTTTCTCTCTGGAAAAGTTAAAACATATTTGCAAGTTAAATGTACTAACAAAAATCAAGACAGCAGTCATTTTATAACTTAAAATGAAGAAAACTAAAATATCTTGATCCTAAAATATATTTGGATTTCTCCTAGAGGATAAATACTAATCTATTTGATGACACACTGCTCAAATTATAGACATTTGTCAATAACAAGAATATATTATACTAAAGCTTATTTCCTAACGCATCTAAGGTATGAAATATAAATAAAGAAATGTGTAAATAGGATAATTATTAATATAACAAAATAAAATAATATCTTTCTTTTGAAACAGGTTCTCATTTTGTAGTGCAGGCTGGCCTTGAACTCACTATGTAGCTCAGGCTGGCCTTGAACTCCCAGTAATCCTCCTGACCTAGCCTCCCAAGTGCTGGGATTACAGGCATGTACCACCATACCTAGCTAATAAAAGAATATCTTAACTGAATATTAAAAGATAGAATTTGAATTTTTAGAATTATATTTTTATTTTAAATATAGGTAGAAAAAGACAAGCATCTTACCACTTAGACATCTTTGATGATACTTGTGATACACTTGTTGGGTAAAACCATTTTCCTTCAAAAGTTCATGAGAAGGGTGCTGGAACTTGGGGAGTGGGTGAGGAGCACATCCACAGCTTCCCCCAAGTGGTGCGGCTTCCGAAGGTGAAGGATTTGAACTGCTGTCGGAGAAGGGGAAAGGGAAAGCCTTCAAACTAAAGAGTCAAGAAGCAAATGTGGGGGCCAGAGAGATAGCTAAGTGGCATAAGTACCTGCCTGGCAAGCACAAGGTGGCAAGAAGCGAGTGTAGAATCTAAGGTTTTCATGATTGAGTGTCTGAGCAGCAGGAAAAAAGTATTCCCTACCAATAGCACACAGATGGACAACAGGAAGTGCTACTTATGTTCAACACATAAATTCAGTTGATAAAGAATAGCTCCGCTTTGAAATCCTTGCCTTTTCATCTGTCCTCCATTATTTGAAGTTAGGCCTTCCTCTCCTTTGCTGGAATTAACTGCTCTGTTTCCCCATGCTCCCTCTCAAAGCCTGCCACCAAAATAATCTTCCTACAACACTGATTTAAATCCCAAGTTTCCAGGGCTGGCCAGATAGTTCAGTGGACTAACACATCTGCTTAGGCAGACTCAGTTCCATCCTTGGCCTGCTGTGCCAGCTCTGCCCCTGGGGCACACTGAGACAGTGATTGAGACTAGGCATGGTAGTGCATGCCTGTAAACCCAAGTGCTGGGATTACAGTGCTTGGGAGGCTGAAAACAGGAGGATCACTACAAATCGGATCTGTGTAGTGAGATCCTGAACACCGTGTACAAAATACCAAATATATAAAATAAATAAATCACCTGTTTTCAAAGTGTGGTCTGTAGATCCTTAGTGTGTTCCTAAGAACCTTCTGAAATGTCAAATCTGTTTTCATCATAGTTCTAGGACACTATTTGTCTTTTCTGCTGGGTTAAAATTGTCCTGATGGTACAGAAGCAATGACATGGAAAACTGCTGCTCTGAATGGAGGTAGTAGCAGCAACTTTTACTTGATAGTGGCTGTATTCTTATTTTGCTCCCCACTGTCAATGAAAAAGCCAAAATAAAACAAAATAGTGCCAGCTCCAACATAAGCCAGCATAACTCTATCGCTCTCCACAAAAAGAAAAAAAAGATGTTGTCATGGTCTGGGATTTTGCAAAGGGAACAATACAATAAGGGACACATTTTATAAGACTATAATAATCACCCAAAGAATCATATACAAACAGAGAGTGCAGAAAATCTGTCCACAAGCTGAAGACCAAAGACTGCAGCAGCTGATGGGCTGGATCCCATGATAATGTCCTGAGTCCAGCTGAAGCTCTTCAGTACACAAGAGCTCATGACAATGCCTCGCATGAGTCCAGTTGGAGGCCAAGAGCCCATGACAATGTGTCATGCATGGCTGTTTCATGGATCTGTGCTGGGAAAGCCCAAAGGTCGGTGACGGAAGCTAAAAGTTGGTGCCAGCAGGTTGAGGGATCTGTGCTAGCAGGCTGAGGGATCTGAACTGGTGCCAGGAAGTGACGCAGAAAGCAAGAACCACAGCTCCCCTGAAAAGTACCATGGCCATGCTCAGCGCCAGTGAGGTCCGAAGCTCTTCTGGCCATGAGGAAAGCTCAGTTCCTGTCAGGAAAGCCAACACCACAAGCTTCTCCAGAAGACTGAGCATTGCACCATCTTCCCCTGTGGAGCCAGAAAGCAATGCTCAAGGTGAGGACCAGAGCTGCCCCAAAATGAGCGGTAGCCGTTCTCAGTGACAATGTGGTTCTGAGCTCCTCCTCCAATGAGAATAACCAGGTTCACCAGGAAAGCCTGTATGATAAAGTTACGAGGGAGAACAGCCCAAAAGAACTAGCATCTCCCTAACAGTTTTCCAATAGCTTGTACCTAACAGCTTGTACCTAACAACCTCTCCAAACAGCTTCCCTAACAACCTCTCAACAGCTTCTTTAGTTCTGCTGTCAGCAGTTCTCAGGTGGGCCTCCTATACCCAGCGCCACACTGGTTCAGTTCAGCTGGGTGTAATAAGTTGGCCATCAGTTATCAATGCACCGCAGATGTTCCTTTCTTTCCTTCCTTCCTTCCTTCCTTCCTTCCTTCCTTCCTTCCTTCCTTCCTTCCTTCCTTCCT